TTCTATCATTGTTTTCTTTCTCCTTAGCTACTAGTGTGAATACCGTGCTTTGCACGGCATATTTTTTTTCCCGCTACAAGGGTTTAATTGCTACAGTAATTTTTGAATTGTTGTAGCGTGTCGCATCTGCTACAGTATTCCACGTGCTGCGATAATATCTTTAAAAAAAAACAGAACGTCTAGCTTCATGTTTGCTACAGTAAATGTTACTGTAGTATTTACTGTAGCATGGATAGTGAATCTTGGGTTCTCACATTTGTATAGAGGAATATATACAACTAGTTACGGTCATGTATTTAGATTTCCCCCTAATTGGTGTGATTATTAAAGGTTTGGTGATAGCATGTACAAGAGTAAGCTTCAGGGCAACGTGGTTAGATGATTTTTGTTCTATGCAGTAGTCGATGGGTCGACCTAGGGGTTTCCAAAAAGCCCGGAGCCCGGGCCCGGTCCGGAGTCCGGCCCGGTCGTGCCCGGCGGCCATAACGGTCACAAAGGTGACCGTTGCCCAGCCCGGCCCGGGCCAAATCTGGCCTAACGGCCAGATTTGGTCTTTTGACCGTTTTGCCCCTTAAAACGGTCAAAAAACGGCTATTTTTCGAGGGTTTTTTGGTCATTTACCTAGGGGGCTGCTTCTATAAATAGAGGGGGGGTTTCAATTCATTTTCTCACAACAAAACTCATCTATTTCTCTCTCTACTACTCTCTTATACAATCTTATACTATCTCATACTAATATACTATCCTATAATCTTTTGTATTTTCTAATACTTCCAACAAATGGCTTCTGGGTCTGATTATGAAGAGCAACATGCAACTCCTACCGATCCAGAGATGAGTCCTCCTACAACAACTCCTCATCCTACCGGTGTTAATCCTGAATCTGGTGGCGACGAATCTACGGCACCAAGAGCTCCAAAAAGGCCGAGGTCTGATGTATGGAATTTTTTTGAGAAGATAGACGTCACCAAGGATGAACACGGTAGGATCATCTCTCAGAATGCGAAATGTGCGTTGTGCGGCCAGATATTCAAAGCTCATCATAAGAGCGGCACCAACCATCTCAAACGGCATATTGAAAAACACAACAAAGGCCAAAATCTACAAGGTGATATCCGGCAGTCTATGCTTTCCCAATCATCCTCTTCAGGTACCCTCGGCAGTTGGAATTATGACGCTGCCCGAGCCCGGAAATGCGTAATCAGGTTTATTGTTCTTAAAAACCTTCCTTTTAAATTAGTAGAAGATGATGAATTTGAAGATTTATTTAGAGATGGTTTTTATCCTGCATTTACAAAATTTTCTCGTCAAACCTGTCAACGTGATATTTTAAAATATTATGTTGAGGAACAGGGAAAAATAATTTCTTATTTTAAAAATTTAAACTGCAAATTTTCTTTAACTTCTGATATTTGGTCATCTAGAGTGCAAACTGGTTATTTATGTATAACAGCACACTGGATTGATGAAAGTTGGAAAATGTTTAAAAGAGTTGTTTCTTTTATTGCAATTGAAGAGTCACACACTGGTATTAATGTTGCAAATTTAATTGTTGAAGAACTTATGAAACTAGAAATTGATCAAAGAATATTTACTCTTTCACTAGATAATGCAAGTAATAATAATGTAGCTGTTGATTTTCTGAAAATAACTTTGTCATTGCCATGTCATGGTGAGCTTTTTCATGTTAGATGTATCTGTCATATTTTAAATTTAATTGTTCAAAGTGCATTTTCTGAAATTAAACCCATGATAGAAAAAGTTAGAACAGTTACTAATATGCATAATGCTTCTGAAATGAGAATTAAAAGATGGAAACAATGTTGTAAAAGAAAAAATTATAAGCCTAGACTAATTCCAAAAGATGTTGACCATAGGTGGAATTCCACCTATGCAATGTTATCTGTAGCAATAGAATATAAAGAAATTATAAATGATTTTATAAATTTTTATGCTTCTAGTTCTAGCTCTGGTAGTGCTTATGGAATAACTGAAGATGAATGGACAGTTATATGTAAATTAAATGAGATGTTACAAGTTTTTTATGATGCTACTATGTTATTATCTGGTTGTTATTATCCAACTATTACTTTAGCTGCTTTACAAATTTTAAATATTCAAAATTTTTTTACAAAATATCGTATGGATGATATTTTTGGAAGTATAATTTTTGAAATGGAGAGTAAATTTAATAAGTATTTTAGGCCTATTCCTCATATTTTTGGTATTGGTGTTCTTATTGATCCATGCTTGAAGGAAATTGGCCTTCGAAGTTTGTTACAATCATTGTATGGTGGACAGATTATAGACTTAGATGATGGATCCACCCTTACTGCTACTACTCATTATTTAGCTATTAGAAATTATTTTCAAACCTTATATGATGAGTATGCAGCTAGATATGGTGTAGCTACACAACAGTCTTCAGCTTCGGCACCTTCAGCTTCGACTTCGAGCACAGGTCGAGGTAAAAGTGTAAGTTTTGATAGGTATGCAATGGTAGCTGAACTAACTGGTGGATCTGGAACTTCATCAGGATTAGAGGTTTCTGAAATAGATGAATATTTATCTGCTTCCTTAGTTAAATGTCAAGGAAATGCTTTAGATATTTTGCAATGGTGGAAAGTATATGGATCAGTTTCATATCCTATACTTTCCACCATGGTTCGTGACTTACTATCAGTGCAGGTTTCGACTGTAGCCTCGGAATCCGCTTTCAGCACAGCAGGACGTTTGATCGACGACCACAGGACATGCTTAGATCCGTATACTGTACAAGCGGTGATGTGCTTACAGGATTAGTGGAGATACGAGAAGCGAACACAAAGCATCGAACGGATTGCTATGATTGAAGATAAATTTAAAGAGTTAGGACTAGCAGATAGATATAATGATTAGATAATATTCATAAAATTGTAATTTTTATTTCTTAGCTTTAAATTTGAATTAAATTATTTCGAAAAAAGTTGCAAATGATAGTGATATGGGTGAGTAGGTGCCAACCTAGTTGGGATGTACTCATCTATTGTGATGCGACGAATTTCGAAATAAATTTATACTTGTAAAGGATTTACCGATTATTAATAAAGACGTTATTTTTATCATTTTTTGTACTTGTAATTTATGTCATTTCATTTCAAGTTATTAATTACATTTATGACATTTTTTATAATAATTTATGATTTATGGTTTTGTTAAAATAATTTATGATTTATGGTTTTGTTAAAATTTTAAAAAAATAAAAAAAAAACAAAAAAAAATTTCTTAAAAAAATCAAACCGGGCCGGCCCGCTTAGGCCCGGGCCCGGGCCACCCGGGCCCGGGTCCGGGCTTGGGTTTTGCCCGGCCCGGGCCCGGTTTCCCGGGCCGGGCCGGGCCGGGCCGGCCCGGATGGACAGCCCTAGGTCGACCCCTTGAACCATTCATTTTTTCCCCTTCTCTGTATAGTTGCTAGGTTTCCCTAAAAATCAGATTTGTTGCTCTATAAATCATTTCAATTAGTCATGTCTTTTTGGCCATTCAAATAAAAAAAAAATTTTATTTTGACTATTAGTTTGCTTACCAGTTTTAGACTTATATTATTTTAGTGAACTTGTTAGCTCATTTTGTATACCTTGTTATACTCTGAAATAGATTGTGTGGTTGTAATCCGTGTTGATCAGTAATGTCATTAAATAGGCTAGATTGTGCATGAAGACGACTTCCGTCAAAAATATGTTTTATAAGCTTGCCTTTCATAGCATGGCTATGCTCTCGATATCGATATCCCGATATGAGGTTTTCCCTTGGCTATTACTATTATAGCATCGACTAGACGATACACCCCTTTTGATTGGACATGTTAGGGGTCACGGTTATCTTTCATAATTTTACGGAAGCCGTTCCATGGTAACTCTGTGGTTAGTACACAACATTTCATGTACAGTCACTTAGATTAAATAGAAAACATGGGGTTTATAAAGGGGAATTAGATGGAGAATATAACATATATATAAACGGGCACATGCACATTCCTGATTTCCTGAGTTATATATACAATGGCCAAAGGGCAAATACTTGACTTGAAGTCGTGTTCCTGGGACAATTTACGGGAAACCAATTTATATACATGAAAATATTCTTCTCTAATTCAAATAACATCTAAAATAATAATAATACGCTTGTATGCTTGGTGATGGACATTATCTTGATCTCTTGATTAGAATTTCCTTTCATCACTGTTGATTTAGAATTCACCTTTTCTTTATATGCCACCTACACTTACACGCGCACAATTTTCCTCATTTTCCATGCTTGTTGGGATTTTTCTGACTCCCCTAGGATTTGCGCGCCCCAGAATTAGGAACTGCTCTTTCTTCGCAGGACCGATAGTATTTTGAGGAGCAGGCTTAGCAACAGTGATCACCGTTCATTCTATCATTTCTCAAGTTCAGTTGATTTAGGTAGTTATTTGTAGGCTTTCCTTTAGCCACATAATTTTCCCCAGAGTATGATGTATTTTCCTTTCTCCCATTTTGGATAGTTGTGGACTTGTCATAGAGCTCTATAATTTTAGATTTTTCTATCTAATTTCTTTGTTATCATAGTTACATGCTCTATGTAGTAGTTCTTTTAGCAATATATCTGTATACAGGATGATCCAGAGGTGTGAATGTGACTGTATGGTTGCATTGCGGGCCGAGTCACATTCCAAACTGTTATATTTGGAATCGGGACGTGACAAGGTTTTTATTGGTATCAGAGCCAGGTTTAGGAATTGCTTTCTTGTCCTGTATACAAGTAAAAACTAAGATTAGGACAAGAATAGAGCATGTATAGAATAGGTTCCATGCTTTCCAGAAAGACATTCTTTGACTCCCAATACCATGATTCTCAAGTCCTAATCTTAATCACTCTCATTTCAGATGATCACTATGGCCCCAAAACGTTGACCCCCTACTCCAGTTATCCCTGAGAGATGCCAAGTCGATCAGGACGATCTTGTAGAAGCGATTAGGGACATGGTAGCTCAAAATCATCAGAGGGGTAGGCAGCAGCAGGTTGCAAGGCCGGGTAATGTGTCCGATTTTTGGAAGCTCAACCCACAACACTTTGCTGGGACTAAAGGTGGATATGAGGCGGAGATGTGGTTGCAGACCATGGACCACTTATTGAGGGTAGAAAAGATACCCGATGAAGACTGAGTGGATATTGTACAGCTGTAGCTTGTTAATGTAGCAAAGACCTGGTGGGACGCAGAGGAGGAGAAGCTTCCTAAGCCAATTTCATGGGAGACCTTCTGAGAGTTTCCTAGAGACATTTTCCCCAAAGACAGCTCATCTTGAGATGCAGAGGCAGTTTGTAACGCTGAGACAGAGAGTTAGCACCGTAGATGAGTATGCAGCTGAATTTTCCAAGCTTAGCAGGTTTGCTCCGGGGATGATGTCGAATGAGGTGGATAAGGGACAAAGGTTCATGCAGGGCCTAAATTTTGAGATCCAGACTCAGATTTACAGTCAGAAGGGGGTTGAGACTTATGCAGATGTCCTAGAGGCAGCTCGAAAAGCAGAACAAGTGATTGTGATCATGAACTCGGTGAAGAGAAGGGCAAACAAGCGCCCTGTAGGACAGAACCCAGGAGGTAACTAGCAGAAGCCTCAAATGGGAGGAACACCAGCCAAGCACCAGCAGACAGGGACTTTGAGACCAGCTCCGCAACCAACCAACATAATTTGTTATTATTGTAGCAAGCCGGGGCACTTAATGAAGGACTGCCGAAGAGCTAACGGGTTGTGCTTAGCATGCGGGGCGGAGGATCATCAGCTCACCACTTGTCCTAGTAGAGGAGTCTCGGGAGGATATTTAGGTGGAGTGATAGTACTAGCATGCCAGACTAAATAGGATGGACAATAGTTGAGGCCACCACTTCCCACGCAGCAGCAGATGTTTGGAGGACATCTAAGGGGTCAACAATTTCAAGGCCAGAGACAGAGGAGACGTCCTCATTTCCAATAGTCATATCAGCCACAGTATCAGCAGAGACACCCAGGGCAATATGGTCAGCAAGCTCAGTAGCAGCAGAGATAAGGTCGGGTTATGACACTTACCGCTGAGCAGACAGATGCATGTGGTGATGTAGTCACATGTATCATTTTGGTTTATTCAGTCCCTGCATTTACCCTATTTAATTCTAGGACATCACACTGTTTTATATCTGCCCAGTTCGTTGCACAACACACCATACCATGTGATAATTTTGATGCAAGCTGGAATATCCATACAAGCAGTGGAGTGTTAATGTCTAGTAGGAAGAGTAAGAAATGCCAAGTGGTAGTTTGTGGTAGGAGTTATTTACAAACTTGCTGGTGATTGACACTAATAGGTTCGATGTTATTTTGGGGATGGATTGGCTATACAACTTCCATGCGATGATCGACTGCCGACACAGAAGCGTAGTGTTCAAGATACCAGGCCACCCAGAGTTTGAATTCATGAGAGGAAGCAAAGTGATGGAGCAACTCGAGTATCAAGCAGTCATGGATGGAGTATTAACCTATATAGGGGTAGAGGAGAAGCCCGTACCAGAAATTATCGAGGAGTTCCTTAACGTTTTTCTTGATGAGTAGCCGGGTCTGCCACCAGATCGAGATATAGAGTTTGTCATCGATATTATTCCAGGAGTTGCACCTATTTCAAAACCACCTTACCGGATGCCGATAGTAGTTTTAAAGGAGTTACGGAAGCAAGTCCAGGAGTATCTTGATAAGAAATTTATCAGGCTTAGTACTTTACTTTGGGGAGCACCAGTGGTGTTAGTGCCAAAGCCGGATGGTAGCCAAAAGATGTGTATTGACTACAGGGAGTTGAATCGGGTTAACATAAAAAATAAATACCTAATACTCAGAATTGATGACTTTTTTGATCAGCTCGCAGAAGCTAGGGTGTTTTCTAACCTGGACCTAAGGTCAGGCTATCATAAGTTGAAGGTGAGGAAGGAAGACATATCCAAGACTGCATTCTGGACATGGTATGGGCACTATGAGTTTTTGGTGATGCTGTTCGGAGTGACTAATGCTCTATCTACATTTATGAGCTTGATGAATAAGGTGTTTTCCTAGTATATTGACTAGATTGTGGTAGTGTTCATTGATGACATTCTTGTATACTCTAAAACCAAGGAAGATCATGCAGAGCATCTACGTATGGTGCTGGAAATCCTACGAAAGGAGAAGCTCTATGGGAAATTAAACAAGTGTGAGTTTTGGCTGGAGCAAGTATCCTTTCTGGGGCACGTAATTTCAGGAGCAGGTATCTCTGTGGACCCGAAGAAGGTTGATGCGGTGTTGAGGTTGGACCCTCCTACATCTGTGACAGAAGTGTAAAGTTTCTTGGGGATGGCTAGATACTATAGGAAGTTCATAAAGGATTCTGCTAAGATTGTTAGACCCCTCACCAGTCTGACTCGAAAGGAGGTCAAGTTTTTGTAGACTAAGGAGTGTCAAGCAACATTTGAGGAGTTGAAGAACAAGTTAACGACAGCACCAGTTTTGATAATTCCTGATGAATCAGAAGGATTTGTAGTGCACACAGATGCTTCTGGGTTGGGTTTGGGTTGTGTTTTGATACAACATGGAAAGATATGCATCCTGGCAGTTGAAGACGCATGAGAGGAACTACCCAGTTCATGATCTGGAATTGGCGGCGGTGATTTTTGCATTGAAGCTATGGCGCACTACCTTTTGTGGCAGAGAGTGGAGGTGTACACAGATCACAAAAGTTTAAAGTATATCTTCACTCAGAAGGAGCTCAATATGAGACAACATAGGTGGTTAGAGCTTATGCCAGATTATGATCTGAATTTACAATATCATCTAGGACGAGTTAATGTAGTGCCAGATCATTTGAGCAGGAAGCCTATGGCGATGAGACTCACCAGATAGCGGGAGTTGCTTGCTATGTTCTGAAGGATGAACATGGAAATTGTATTGCCTGGAGCAGGGAGACAGTTGATGAGTTTGTAGTTACAACCAACTCTAGTGGACTGGATTAAGGCTACCCAGTTTGAGGATGCTAGGTACCAAAAATTTAAGAAACAAGTGGAGTCTGGGGAGAGAACTGATCTACAAATATATGAGGATGGATCCTTGTGATTCTGTGATAGGTTATGTGTGCCTAAGGGCGATATTAGAAGAGAGCTGTTAGAGGAGGTGCATAGTTCAGTGCTTTCTATTCATCCAAGAGGCACGAAGATGTATCAGGACTTGAGAGAACACTACTGGTGGCTAGGAATAAAGATGGAGATAGCCCGATTTGTATCAAAATTCCTAATATGTCAGCAGGTGAAGGCTGAGCATTAGAGGATAGCTGGGTTATTGTAACCCCTTCCTATTCCCGAGTGAAAGTGGGAACATGTTACAATGGATTTTGTCACAGCTCTGCCGAGGAGCCAGAAGGGAAATAACGCCGTATGGGTAGTGGTAGACTAACTCACCGAGTCGGCTCGCTTCATACCATTTCGAGTTAGACAAATTGTCACGCCCCGCTTCCCAAAATACTTGGGAATCGGAACGTGAACAAGTCCATGACGTATTAGATTGAGAAGAAATATACACTATTATTTTTTTCTTTTTCTTTTCTTCTCAATCTAATACGCTAAGCGTCAAATACGTAAATCTCAATCACAGATCCTCGATCACAATAGCAAGAATATAAAGACAATCCAGAATAAGAAATAAACATATCATCCATAGTAAATCATCCCAGACATAAAAATATGGGTCAAACATACCCATATTATAAAAATAGTCCAACTAGGAATAAAAACACATAGTCTATGATAAAAGACAAATACTGATAAAATAACTGAATCCATTATCAAACTAAGGACAATACTATAAAGAGTTCTAATGTTTATCAGCTACTACAGAAAAGAAAAACACGTCTAGGCTTCAGTTTGTTCTTCCACTCCATCGGAAGGACATTCCGGCTGTGCATACACTGACTCGGCTATATCATCGAACTGAACCTGCTCGTCTCCTAAGTCCGACACACACCAGAGAAAACATGTGTACGTCAGCGTGCATGGCACACAGCAAGATCTCACATGAACAAATAAAACAGTCTAATGAGCCATGCTATAGCAATAATAATACTAACAAGAAAGATAATGATACATGCAACTGAAAATCTAATGGTAACCTACAGCTATGTGAATACAATGACTGGGTCAAATACTAACCAACCTAAAGCTCAGTGGTCCACATCTCACACAGAGTCAACGTTCCTGTCATCGGATAACTGGCTGTTCACAAACCCCCTACGTACATCCAATCCCGCTACACATGCGGCCAAAGGACTACACGTAAACCGTTTTCTACCTGGTCCGAACTCAAGCAAAACTCGGGTGACGAAACGATTCCACTGACTAAAGTGATGTACACACTTCACTTTAGCTCTACAAACCGACCCCAGTGGCGACACCAACCACTGGCGCGAGCTTGGAAGATACATCAACAGTCTTATCCGACCACCTGAACACTGACTTCCCCATCCCAACTCTTCTTGTTTTTCTAAGTTAATCATAAACTCATTGAAAACTTGGGTTCACCGCCTAACCAGTCAACACACCCATACATGTCACTAAGTCTGTTCATGACACACAAGGCTACTAAATCATGAACTACTAAGGTTCTCAACACGTCAACAGATCATGAAGATAGTATGGCATGTTAAACATGATTAAGCAGGTTTATGAAGCAGAAATGAGAACTTTAATGAACATGAAATGCATAAACAAAATACTATAGCATGAATGCAATACATGAGGGGGCTTCATTATTATCTTACCACTGGGATGTCTGAACTTCTCATACAAATTATCCGTACTTACGTATTCTCTAATATAATAATACGTTAAAAAGAAAACTAGACACCATCGTTTTGCACATGAAATCTCATGCTCTATGACGATCAGTCATACTATAATAATAATAATATTCTTTTTCCAAAATTATTCTTTAAAACTATTTCTCATTATAACTAATTTAAAACACAAATATTTATGTTATATATATATATTAATTCCTTTCTGCATAAAAAGTAATATTTTCCTATTTTTGATTTTCATGGATAAAAGTGACCTGAAAGCAGAAAGCTGAGGGGCGGTCTGAAGGCGCAGGATAGCAGGCGAATTTTTTGATGCTATCGTGCACTCCCGCCTTGATTTTTTTCGATTTCTTGATGGCCAAGAAGAAGAAAAATAATGGAAAAAAGATTCTCGAGATTGGATTGAGAGCTCCTAAATCGAATTTGATGATTGAGGATGATCAATCTACTACTGGCAGTGAAGAAGATGTTGAATCTTTCGTTGAAATGAGATCTACAGGTCCCAAAGGAGCAAGGAAGTGTAAATCTATGGCTGAAGTTTGGAATTCTGCAAATTCGATGAGAATCTCTAATCGTATACCAAATCAAGTACAAGGTTTTCTTGATCGCCAACTTGATGAAGCTTCTTGCTCGAATTCTGAAGTTTTGAAGGCTAGGTCTTCTTCGAGAGTTGGAGTTCATCTTCGAGATTCTTGCAAAACTTCTAACTCTAAATCTCATGTCTCTTGGTCAGATGAGGTTGATAGAGAGGTAATTTCTCATCCAACTCATAAAGGATCTTCTCCTTTGTTTACAAATACTTTGCTGGATTCAATTTCTACAGAAGATGATATCAGATCTGGAGTTTTAAAAGCTAACTCTGTTCTTGATTCTATTATCTCTTCTAATTCTGCTCAACCTGTGAGGAATATAGAGGAGAGTGGAATTAAACAGAATTTATATGAGAGGCGGCGATTTTGAAATTAAAACGAGAGAGAGAGAGAGTATAATATATATAGGATTATAATTAGGGTTAGGGTTTAGGTATTTAACTAAAATAATTAAAATAATTATTATGGGTACTTAAAAATTTTAACTAATTATAGAATAATTATCTACAAATAAAAACGTACATGTTGTGCTATTACAACAATTGATACGAAACTGAAGAAATAATATTATAAATTATACAATTAAACAAGATTAATTAATAAAATTATAATTACTTATTTTTAGAATCAAATAATTATGGGATAATTATATACATAGTAAAACGTACTAGTTGTGCTAATACGATAGCTGATACACAATAATTAAAATAATATAATAATTTACACAAATAATACGTAATTAATAATTCAACATAATACATGAAATAATACGCAATAGTAACAATAATACAACATATTATTTAAAATAATACGTAATAGTACTGATAACACAACAAATCAATTTTAGAAGATTTTACCGCTCAAAATAAATTTATAGATATTAAAATTATTTATATAAATATAAAATTTGGATTTTAAATCATAGAAAATTGCAAAAATTAACAAAAATACAAATACTCTTCTAAAAATAATGATTAAATATTTAAAAATAATAAAAAACTATTTTAACTAGTATTAAATTTTACAGTCATTACATCCTACTCCCCTTAAAATAAATTCCTTTCTCGGAATTAAAATAACAAGGACGAAATATAAAGATAGATCCAATTCAACTCATATAAGGTTCAAAATATATTGCATATCCATAAATGAGAAAAGTCATACAAGGTGATTTAAAATAAGATACAAGACATGACAGCTAAGATTCAGGAAATAAATAAGGGTATCGCTATCGCATCTCAGACCCAGTTTCCCAAGTCGACTCTCTAGGAGAATCTGAGTGCCACATCACACGAACAAGCGAGACGGTCTTGTTCCAGAGGTTCTTCTCCCTTCGGTCCAAATCATCACTGGCTGCTTCTCGTATGTCAAATCAGATCGCACCTTAATCTCCGAGAAATCTACGACATGACTCGGATCTCTGACGTATTTTCACAACTGAGAAACGTGGAATACGTTATACACTCCAGCCAGGGCGGGTGGTAATGCAAGTCGGTACGCCACTTCTCCCACCCTCTCTAATACGTCGAAAGGTCCCACATATCACGGACTCAACTTTCCACGCCTCCCAAAGTGAATGGTGCATCGGTTGGGGGAAATCTTTAGGAACACATGATCTCCTGGCTGAAACTCCAAGTGCCGACGCTTCGCGTCTGCCCAATGCCTGAATCTGTCCTGTGCTATGCGAAGTCGCTCCCGAATGATCCTGACTACATCAACTGATTTGTCAATCAACTCTGGCCCAAAAATCTCCCGCTTACCAACATCGTCCCAACTTAAAGGAGAGTGACACTTCCTCCCATACAATGCTGCAAAAGGGGCCATCCCAATGCTTACCTAGAAGCTATTGTTGTATGCGAACTCCACCAATTGCAAGTGATCTTCCTACGACCCAGGAAAGTCAAGCA